ATGTAACCTTGATATTTTGATACATTCTTATCACAATGTTTAGTCTCCAGGCTTTCATTGTTATGTTCAGTCAAGATCTTATTAAGTTCTAAACAATCGAAATGGCCAACAAAAGTTAAATGAAGTATCTGATAAGTGAACCAGTCAAACATGTAATGACATATCACACAGAAATGTTAGATTTTGATTCTGAAAATGCTGCACATCAGGAAAACAAAACCATCATAATCATACCATCCGGTTCAGGGGACATAAAATCATTTTTACTCAACATTATTATAAAAAAAACACAAAAGTCATAAATTGAGAATGTCATAAGTTCGACTTAAAACATCTGGTTAGCTGTGTACTATATTTAGCCATAATAGATATGAACCTGTGAATAGTTTCTGAGTTATTTGTCGAGAATTTTGATCCCTTAAAAATGACTGACTAGTTAATGTTCTGTTTATATATCAACCCCTTGATGGAGGCATATTGCCCGTAATTGTTAGATAAATGTAGTCTGAAAGAAATAATCCACGTCATTTCAAAACTTGAAAAACCATTAATAAATTAATTGATTGAGAATACATCCACCTTAGCAAGTATCTATAATCAATTTGTCCACGAATTTTGACCCTTCCTTGTAAAACGTATGCATACGTTGACTCATTAGACTTCATCATATACATTTATATTGAATTATTTAAGATTATTAAATGCAGCATGAATTTCGGCGCCAAACTTTTTCAAGTTTATTATATAGATTAAAATAAAATAGAACAATTATATGCAAGTATTAAGTAAAAACTGCACAAAAGTTAGTATGATGCATATATTCTTACAAACATTTAAAAATCTTTTTAACAATATATTTAACATCAGTCCAGCACTCTTGCATTTTTCACATTCTCAGAATATCTAATTCACTCGTTTGACTGCTCATATGATATTTTAGAATTTAAGAAGAATTTATTTGAATCAAAAACAATGAACAAGAAAGTTAATTCGATATATCTAGATATCACTAGTCATGATCATTAAACATTAACAAATGATGTTGGAAGATGGAATGTTGCCAACTCACTCAGGCTAAGGACAAACAGTCAGTCCCTAAGTTACACAAGTATACTAGTGACAGTATATCAGATTTCAACAGTTCGGTTATACACCGCATCCCAGGAGTTGGACTCAAGATTCATGGAGGCAAGGGCTACCATAAAACATGTTGGATAGCTTCTGCTTTTAAACTTTTTATAAACATAATCGTTCATAATATTATGTGAATTTAATTTTTTTAAATAAAGTTAGTAAATTAATTTAATAAATAATATAATAGTCATAAAGCTATCATTAGGATTCTATTAGTCAGGAAAACTATAGCATGAAGAATTTTGATCTGACCAGTATGGAATGATTAGTACATGAGGCAAATCCAATTCTCACATCCAGTAACATATAGTATATATAGTGTAGAAAATTAGAAGTGATATAATATGATGAAGATGATGTGAAACAGAGCTCAATGATTTTCTAAGCCTAACTCAATACGTCTTTTATCAATACCGATATCCGTAGTTGTTTATTACTAAATTCCAGTCGAGTATAATTCGCGACTTTCAACATCACTTACTGGAACGCTTACATGCACACATGGCCTGACACAAATTTGAATGAACCCAGCACAACGAACTATGAAATAACATAGTAAGAGGAAACCAACAAGAGAAAAGGGGTAGGACGTAAATTATGATTTCAGTACAAACTGAGGAAAAACTAGAGGAAACGTTATCCTAGATTTACAGAAGGATTGAGTATGAATTAACCAGAATGACTGCAAACGATTTCGAAACGTGCCACTTTAAGTTTCCAACCACAAAACTACGTTTATTTCTAAAATACCAACACGGAAGTCTGATAGTCCTGGTAAGTCTCTCCAACGCCCTACATTTCTTTCGACAGAAATGACTATTAAGGATAGATACAATATGACGAACCTCAGTTGATGTACAAATATTAGTCAATCAAGTAGCATTTCTGCTGCATTTCGCATGGTTCAACTGATTCTCAAACCTGTGACGGTAAAATTATGCCAGCAATAACGAAAAGATAAAACATAAGGACTGAGGATAAACTCCACGTTTTCAAGTGTATTTGAGTGTATCGTAGTCAGTAACTACGGTTATGTTTTTGCTTATTTAGTCACTCAATTGTAAATATTTCGGAATAATTTCTATCATAGAACTAATTGGAGGTGTCTTTCGCTGTTCTTCCATCATGACTGACTCCCCTATATATCATACATCCGTAACATGATGGGGTGGTATTTTCGTCATGGAAAACTACATTTTTCATATAAGCCAGCAAAAATGACAGATGATGAAACACGTCCTCCATCATGGATCATGATAGTGTAAATAAATCCCCGCTTCATTTTGGTTGGTCGCCAGGTGCAAGGTCAAAATTGCAAACGAGAGTGGAATTTATCTTCACCCAATATAAGGACATTTTCTTCTACTTGGGAGGTTAATTAGAGTTGACCATCATAGAATCAAATCACATCACGTAATGTATTGTTTCACTCATAGACATTATAGAGTATCACTTTACAGATTTTTGCTATTTGTCACTTCCCAGAAGTTTATGATTTAAAAATTTGGGTCGATTAGAATCCTCTTAATTCTTTATCAAACGTAATAAGTGATTATTGAGACACCTTCTATGAAAACTTGTTAGATAGGTAGATTAACAAATTAAAGTTGATGACTATAAATTTGTTCACAATAACTTCAGTGAATTTGAACAGAATGTCCGACAATATTGTATAGTGTTGATACTCAGCCTAATCTAACGTAATTTTGCCTGTTATTCAAAAATCAACACTTATTTGATAAAGACGTAATTGATCATACATAAATTGAGTTTAAAGGTTTAGGGATAGGATATATATCCGTGAATTTCCAGCTCAGCTGACTCTCAGTGTTCAATATATGTGTAGTACCAAGGACTTTTGAGCGTTTTTCAATTCACTTAGTGGTCGAATACTGTATATAAGGGCATAATTTCCACTGAGGATTTCATTTCAAGCTTTTACTTTACTTGCCTTTTCTATTCGGTAAGATGGATTGCATTGCAGTAGTACGCTCACAGAAGACATATGTAAACAGTTTTGGATAACTAAAATGAAGTCCTCAGTGCAAATTGCAAACCTATATGCAGCACTCATTCACTAGATGAACGGAAACATGGTCAAAAAGGACAGATGCTACACTTTTATTGAACAGTGAAAAGAGGTTGGTTATCTTCACACAAGGTATGCCCAAAAGTAGTTTTGGAGAACAGTGCTTCAACATTTATTCTGAATAACTCAAATATCAAGTCAGTTTACACAGCTCATTCATAATGTATATTCTCAGATAAATAATTTCAGCTTTATATAATTTTTAATAGAGAAAACGATAGTAATCCAAATGTAATCCACCGTAGACTAACAGATCCGCTCCTGGATAAACCTAGCCAAAAGCTATGAAGACAAAACGAATATTACAAAATACTCCAATGTAATACTAGGTTAAAATTGACTAGTTGTATTTGGGCAAATGAAGTGTGCAGACCCAAGAAGAAATTTCAAGGAAATCACTCATCAATTGAAAAATGTCTCTTTAATACATTATTTTTATTCATTTGATTTGTTATTTAATTCCTCTCTCTCTGTGACGTGAAACGTTCGGATACTTGTTACAAGTCGTATATTGCTCACCTTTTTTCAGTATACTATTGAGAACTACACTGGTCAGAAGACTATGTGAATAATATACCTATAATTTATTTAATTGGTTTTCGGAAAGTTTTATGTAATAAAATATTCAAGTTGATTTAACTGCTGTGCTCATAATGATGTCAAAAAAATACAGGTTTGAATATATATTCTTTAAATTTAATGCAAACTGACGTTTCAAAAACCATGATCACTTTGTACCTAGTTCATATAAATTTGTCCATATGCAATTTCAATCTATTTTACATGACGGTAATTAATTAGACGAGGTTCCACTGTCAATTCACTTCAATTTATTTACTTCTGGAAATGTGAATTATACCAAAATCTTAAAGTTCACCCAAGTTTGTAAAATGTTAATGCGTACAATAATACATTGTCTGATACAAATCATTTTTTGTGATTCAGGTTTCATCTGTCAAACACATTCATTTCTTTATTTAAATAATGATTAAATACATAGTTATACAAACTGAGGTAATAGTATGGCCTATAATTCAACAAAAGCACAAATTTAACTTCATTATTAATTCCAGCACTTAAATTTAGGAAAATCGGAATTTGTTACGGTAATATGAGGATGTAAAAAAGTAATTTTAACTTAAATTAAAACTGTTTTTAAATCGATAAACTAAGAATACCAAACAATTTAAAACTATTTTATGTCGTATGAATGTCTAAAAATGTCAAGTTTCTTAGGACCACATGGTAAAGGATGTAAATATCTGAACATCATATATGAGAAGACATTATTGAATAAATTAAATAGTATAATATTATCATCAGTATGTGACGGGAAATAAGTCCAAATTATGAGAATCTCTTGATAAAATCCCTAAGTAAATTAACTATATTTATTAACAACCTATTCTATGCATAAAGAAACCACCAAGAAGTTTGTAACACTACTTTAGTCCCCTAACCTGATGGTACAACTAGCACTCACAAAACGTGAAGCCTAGAATTAAATATACAAGTGAGTATTTGCTAATTGAGCTACAGTGAAACCAAAACTAAGTAATGTATTTCGATAGATCAATGATAAGACAGAATTGACCTAAAATTGTTCGAAATGTATAGTACAAATACATCACCTTTCTAAAATGGACCAAGTGTTTTAATTAATATAATTAATTGTGCACGACCTTTGACACTAGGGATGAACTTAGATTTCTTGAGATTAGGAGACTGTATATTGTATAAACTATTAAAGACACAGCATACATAATAGATGACTTACTTCTAGCAGAATCAGGAAGGCGTTTCAGAAAGCGATCAGTTACATCAAATTCATCATCCAAGGTGACTGATAAAAGTTTATATGCAGCTTTAACTAAGAACTTCTGTAATATTAAATGTTGAAAAACACCAGCCATTCCTGTATGCCCGACCACACCTTCTCGACGTCTAACATTCCTAGTTGTAACTATGGCTATAGGTGTTTGTTGGTCTGGCAACCAGCCATAGTGTTTTAAAGTATTGCCAAAAACCCATTCCAAATCAGAATAAGTAAATAAGACACGTGTAAGCATTCCATATTCAAGTTTATCACTAAGCTGATGGGCAAAGCCAGCAGGAGCCACAATAGGGACATTGTACATTGCAGTACTGAATCTCGCAGCGTTAGCCAGAGTAAAATCATTTAAAGGACCGAAAATTACATTCACTCCATTCGAATTTAGTTGAGTTAATAAGGCAAGTGCGTCACATGCAAGGGCATCAATGTATAATATGAGTACTGTAGTAAAACTGACACCTCCAAAAGCGGGAAATGCTTGTATATCTTCAAGAGCCAGATCAATTGCAGGAAGGACCTGAGCAAAATTATCTGGTCCCAATGGTCCAAGTTGTACCCCCAAATGCACATTTGTGATATATCGAGCATTAGAACCTTTTGGTTGTAGACGAGACTGTTTAAGTCGTTTTTCATTGATTAAATTTGATTTTGCAGAAACATGTTTAAAAGCTGAATGAAGCTCCTGGAGCTTATATTTACGTTCCGGTAAGTTAGGACTATCCGGTGGCTTACATATTTGACCACTATGTACCGACCCAGAAATCTGAATTAAAAGGATCAAAATAAGTGTAGTGGTGACATGTGGAAACAAAAAATTCCAAGTTTTAAATGTTATGATATTAGAGCTTGATGGAATTTGACTAAAGAGCCACATGAATCCAGTAGCATGAGTGCTATAATTGAGAACATAAATTCCTTATTTGAATGGGTATGAAGGACAACTGATCCCCTTTTAATGACATCGCAAATACGTACATCCGTAACTAACTAGAAATTTAATCCGTGTGCCCCAGTTTTCTCAGCTAGATGAATGGCCCTAATGTATTAAGAATATGATTGGTTAATCTCAAGGCGAAGGTCACATAAATATTTTTACTAGGCTGATATCTAGGGCAGTAGTAGTTATTTAGCCAATAGCAAATCAGAAGTTGTCAACTCTTTATTCATACTGGAAAACAAAATTCAAACCAAGGTCAGATTAATCCAAACCACAAAATTAAGAGATGACATGTAAAGCTCAGTTACACACAGACGACCTTTGACTTAATTTTATCTTCAATAAAACACTATTTAGCCACGGGTCTAGTGCTACTGGGTGCAGAATGGAACAAATATAGACATATTTATTTCGGTTGTGCTTTAATTCCCTTCTACTCCTTAAATTTAGAAAGCTTGGGGTTAGCTCTAGCAACTAAAAATCTTTAACTGATTATTACATAGTAAGAGAAGTCGGAATGAATTTTTATCAGTTTTCTCAATCGTACACAGAAATATGCCGTCGGACTAATGTTATATACCTGGAATCTTAGAGGAGTGAAACTTATAGTTACTCTACATATAATGTTAGTCATCAACACCGAAAGGGAATAATTTTCACTACGACTAAATGATTTACTATCAAGCATTCAAATTAGGTGTTTGAAACTCCGAACACCGTTGAAATAAAATCGATCACGGCAGAACTTTTGGCATATACGCGAATTTATATTTTAGAGCACTGTTCATGTAGTCCATAAGAAGCATATTTTGGGAAATAATTATAATTATCAATTCTATCTAGCTCCTAAAAACTTACAATCTCGAACACTAAATAACGGCTTCATAATTTGAGTTGAGATAAGACACATCATGAAGTTTCATTGATATTCTGTTGTCTGAGATCTTGCCCTTTTTTTATTTTGTGTTTAGTGAAACGAAAAAGTACTGTACTTTTAGTAAATTCAATATTTTCATTCTTATCCAAGAAAGACAGTGTCAAAAGCAAATCTAGGCATGTCAGGTTATCTAGTGTATAGTAGCTAACTATTCGTTGTAGAAAGTCAAACTTTTAATATACATAGAAGTGACTGGACTTAAAAGTCTATTCTTTGCTTTTATTAACGCCATACAACAAAAGTAGTAGGAAATGATACGTGATACAGATTTCAAGAATGTGCAAAACCAACAATTTCCTTTGATTTTATCGTTATCCAGTCACTAACGTTAACTTTTTGAGAATGTCTGAGTCGAATACAATCGTTTCTTGTTAACTGATGGCAGGTAAGCAGTTTCATGAAGCCATATTCATACTGGCAACTTTACCATATTTCTCTGGATAACCGTGTTTCATATAAAGTCTATTGTGTTACTATTATCTCGTCTTACTGACTCCGGTTACCCTATTACTAACAAGATCTTGTTTAAATATATCTATCTGTAAATGTAAAGATTCATTGAGAGACAGAAATATAAATACTATCAAATTTTTGATTGAGATCATAAACCGATTGATTTTAGACCACCATTGAAAATCTAGAAGCATTGGACGGCCGTTTCGTCCTAGTATGGGACCTCTCAGCAGTGCGCATCCGCGGTCCCGCACGCGAGATCCGAACCCAGGACCTTTGGTCTACGCGCGCGAACGCTTAACCTCTAAATCACTGAACCGGCATCTAATGGTGTCAATGTCTAATCTCAACCAATCCACGATATTGCGCGACTATCTTCAATTAAGAAACTAATTCTTAATACATATAGGATAAAAAATCACGGGGTATTTCCATCTAAAAAGTATCATTACATTTACCATTATTATGTATTAAAAGATAAGAAATATGTTCTTGAAAACAAGTTCATGAATAAATGATATAAGTTATTTATCTATTTATTTATTACTATTATTATTATTGTTATTTTCATAACATTTTTTTATAATTATATATTATTATGCTTTATTAACAGTAGATTTATATTTGTAACGTCGTTGGTTATGATATTAAAAAATATCAATCCTATAGAGATCACAAAAATCTATTTAGATGGCCATACTGAGATGAAATAGTTATCTAATATTTCATGGGAATCGACAATTGTCTAAGGTCACCCTATAATGTAAACTGTTAAGTTTAATCTCTACAACCTCACCTATATCAATAATATTAGTTCTGCTGTAGCAATATACTCTTTTTGTAACGTTTAGTTCATTCACTCAAGCCTATGATATATTTGAGAGAAAACTTTATCTTTATTTTGAATTTAGAGTAATATGTTCAAAAAGAGTTTGTCAAATACTATTTTTATAGTGATCCTGGTTCTATCGCTTTTTGATTACTCTCTTATGATATTTAACACACACATATAATAATAATTATTATTATCATTATTGTTAGTAGTAGTAGTTGTAGTATCAGCGAATTGTTTCCACTTCACATTTTTGATTGCTAATCATATGATATCATTCTCATCTCAACTCCTGAATTAGTCATGCTTATAATTACTCTGATGACCCTAATGAGTGAACATATAGTACGTTTTAACAATCCCTTCTCTTCATAAGTGTTTACTTGAAACGTGAAGCTTAATACTTCCCATAAATTGAATTTAGATAGTTGAGATCTTCTTAAAGATGATGTAACTGACAAATAAAATATTTTTAATGCACATCGCTTTAAATGAAACAAGTCGAATGTCATACAGGAAATAGAATTCTAAAACTACAAATTAAATTTTTGTTGAGATCATAAACCGATCAGTGTTTGACCACCATTGAAAAGCTAAAAACACTAGATGGTTGTTTCATTTTAGTACGTAACTCATCAGCAGTGCACGCCCACCATTCCACACGCGGGACTCGAAACCATGGCCTTTGGTCTCGAGTGTGAAAACTTAACCTCTAGACCACTGAGACGGTATCCATTGGTGTTAATATCTAACTTCAACCAGTCCACAATATCGCGCGGCCATTTTCCATTGTCTTCGATGGGTAACTGCCTCATACCCGACACGGTTGAATTCTATTGGTCACGACTTCTCACTAGAACTCTGATAATTACCTATCGAAGCGATAAATTGAGTGACCACTTCAGATTCATATGAGTAAACTTCAGTTGGCTATCAAATGTTATAACATACCAATCTCTATATGCAGACAATTATGGATGAATTGAAATACTAAAATTCTGGATGGGGATATTACACAGAAAATTAGGACATTTTATATGCTTAGCACTCAAATCATTCAATAATCAATAGATAAGTTGAATTGCTATTAGTAATGGAATTCAGGATGTGCATTTCATAATATTGGGAACTTTTTATTTGGACTTACCTCAATCTTAATGTTAATATCCACAATGAGACTTAAACCCACTCAGAATGTACACATTCCATCGGAGGCTGATCAATTGTAATCGTGAGCAACAACAGCGGAAAATTGCAAATCTTAATTAATGATCAATCAATAAATATGGTCGTTTAGCCAGTACAAAAAAAACGGTAACAAACTAGTTCATGCTAATAATACGTTTCCTGAAATAATTTCTCTGCTTACTTATTTTGTTTTAATCAAAAGAAAAACATTATTCATAAGAATTTGCTATAAATTATGAAGATTTAATCAGATAACATAACAATAAATAATTTCATGTCAATCTCTTATATTAATTACTAACCAAAACTTCAAGAGGAGTGACAATAAATAGAAAAATCGTTAAACGAATATATCGAAGTGAAGAAATAATCTAATTTAGCCATTACCAATTTGCAACTTATTATGCACAATGCTGATATTGAATACAATGAATTTTACGAATAATGGATAGAATCTAATCAGCACCTATTCTAAGAATAAACAAACATAGTCCTTGTGAACTAGAAAAAAGTAATATGTATTGAGTTACACTCTTGACGTAAACAAGCCACTTAAAAATAATCCATTGAAAATTTACTAATAATTTCTTTCTTAAATATCAATTTGATGTAAAGTACTTTAGATTATATAAAGTGTTTAATGTTAAAAAAAAACCAAAAAGAGAATATAATTAATGACAAATTTTCCTACATCTTGTGTGAAAAAAGCACAATTTCATTTAAGTGAATCTGTTAACACATTTTTCTTGGCTTCTTCAATGATTTCGTTCTGGGGAAGGTCATTTATTTTGATTGTACATTCCGAGTTACAATTATTATTATTTTTAGTAGTAATAGTAGTAATAGTCGTAGTCGTAGTCGTAGTAGTCGTAGTCGTAGTCGTAGTAGTAGTAGTAGTAGTATCGATGATGGTAAAATATAACCGTTTACAACCAGTAATAAACTTCGATATACATTCAGAGTAATTCTTGAGGTTTAGAGAAAATCATATTTTTTATGTCAGTGATGAAGTTATTTTTGATGGACATCTATTAATATACAGTAGATTGGTATTGTTGATTGACGTAACATACGAATTCAATATTCTCATTTATCAGGATATTCTAAACAGATTAGACTTGGTAGTTACAAAATTGGGGCTTTGAAAATGAATTATGACAAAATTTCCCAACTGACCCTAACTTACGTTCGTAAAAATAAGAAATACTAACTTTAAGTCTACATAACATCAGTTTACTCATGAAAATGATATGAATTAGAATAGATTAGAATAGATCACATTGCCATTAGTCATCGTTGAGGGAGATTGATAGGAGACTGTTGCTCGTTCTGGAGTGCATTTTTAGACTTTTATCATACGGTAGTCGAGCACGCATTTGTGATGTTCGTCAAGGTCGTCGGCTTTCTCTATTTTTACGCAACTTTGTCATAGACGTGCTTCTAGAGATAACACTCATCGTTTGACTTTTCAGGGGTCTGGCTGCTAGTAGAGGATTCCCTTATTCGCTTGAAATACGCTGATGATAT